TATGTTGCGTTGATGCATTTGATTGGTTGCAACAGTCATTGTGTCTCTTGTCACAAGGGCTCTGATTGGTTATATCCACTCAAGAGCCGAACATAGAATATTGCGTTTAACTTATCAATGGAGTGTTATTTTGACAATACTTAAAAAACAAATAATTAAAATGAAAGGAAACGAATTAATAAGGAGATATATTCACTATAACATGAAAGATATGATATTTATTCTATGATGTTTATTTCGAAGAGATGACCCATTAATTCAAGTCTAATTTACACAACTGGCAGTAAAGGTCAAGGCCACGACTTACACACTGACCACGTGCTTCATTCACGAGCCGGAGAGCGATAACGAGACTGCAGATAAGGGAAGGTCAGACCACATTTCCGGTACGGTCAGATTATACGCACACAAGGCAGTAACCTGCTATTTCCTTTATATATACTTACATTAATATTTATATATACGTTCTTTACCATTGGCTCAATTTTTTAAACCGATATTTTTTTTAAAATATATTCACGTAAACGTTTGTTTGAGAAGATTTAATTACGCAGACGTTTATATTTTACTGGACACTTCGTGTAGAGAAAGAGAACACACAGTGTCACTGAGGCAGTTGGCTGAGCAATATTACAGTATGGTGTAAAATAATAATAGCCACAAGGCGACACACACACACATATATATATATATAATGTTATATAGGGTACATACCCTGTAAATCTCACACGAGAACCTGGCATGTGACCGACTTCGGCCAGGTTAAGTGTTATTGTTTTATAGCATACTAAAACAAATGTTAAGCTGCAATTTTACCGTAATAAACTCTTCTACTGGCGAACTCGGTGTATTTATGGTAACCAAATAATGAAATCTTCGTTAGCTGTTGCTTAATTATCTGTAAGTCTTATCAACAAGTTTTGTAGTGAATGATTTTTTTTTTTTTTTTTTTTTTACAAAAGGCCTGTTTTGATATTTTTTGATCGTGAACTAAGTTTCAACACTCTATATGTTTTGATGGTGTTTTGTAATCTATCCCAGGGTTCCTTGCGTTGCACTCCATTCATCTCTGTAAACGACTCAGGGAATGGATCTTTGACCTTGAGGTGAGCTATTCATATCGTAACAAGATGGCGGCGCCCTGTGTGGAAAGTAATACCGGAGCTACAAATAATTGTCACAAAGGGATAGAAACATAAGCAATACTTCACCATAACTGGGTTCTTAGATGTTCCGTATAACTACAATTTAGACGTATATGACTAGAAACATCTGTGTATAAAACGCCACATTTATGACATAAATTAGTTATCTCATCTCTGCGGATGGTTACTATTAACGTCATTTAATATTGTACATAAGATTTACAGATAACTTTTTATTTCTGCTTACAAAATCCTGAAATGTAGATGACCTCTCATTGACTTTGGAGTCATACCTAGGGCCCTTGATTTTAACATTCATGTTTCCAATGGAGATTACCCTTCTCTCGGTAGAGTACCTTATATACAATTGCTCTAAAACATCTGTGTGCTCATAGAAAACCTCGATCGGTCTCAATGAAGTGGGCATATAAACAGCAAACAAATACCCTTCGTCTGATGTTTGAACTTTCATTCCAATAATTCTTGGACTATCTACATATATTTCTTGAACATTTAGGCATTCACATTTGTAAAAAATTGTGACCCCTCCCGTAATGTTGCATTTGTTACGAAAGGGGTCAGTTTCGAAAACAGATTTTGCTATACACTTGTAGCCAGAACTCTCAAATGTGTTGAACAAAAGAGACATGGTATGTTCCCTAGACCAATGCTCCGATAAACCACAATTGTCAACATTTTATGTTTTCAAGCACTGTATTAGGTTTTGCGTACCGGCCATTACCCCTTCAATGGTCCAGCACATACTGTTCAAAGCTTGAGCCGCGCCCGTGCTGATCCAGGAACGCATCACGTGATATCCATTGGCGGATTATACCCCTTCCGGCCAGAAATTGCCTTTAGAAGACCATGATACCTTTGCTAACATATTCTGCCTACAATTATCTAGACATCGCTTCGGAGTAAAGACGACAAAGTAGAGTGATGCTAAAAATAATCTGTAAGAAGTAACGATGACCTTGACAAGTCAACGTCACCTGCAACACAAATTCGTTCGAGGTTTTCTAGTAACTAACTGAACTTGGATCAAATCCGTTAAGGACTTAAGAGTCCAAAGTAAAGCGATGACAAAATATTCTATAAAAAAAGGTAGGGTGACGATGAACTTGACACCCGGAAACACCAAGCCGTTCAAGGTATTCTCAAACATGATCCATATACAGTGATGTTTGATCACGATCCTTTTAGAAAAGTCGCTAAAGCAATGATAAAGTGTGAACATTACCAGACACGTCACTCGCACGGAAAAATAGAAGCCTAATTCAGTGTGTGTGTTAATTGTTGTACTATTGTGATCCTCTTTAATTGAATAATTTACCTGATCTTATCTTAATCCTTTTTCCTTACTAGCTGTGAAAGACATTAAGAAGGTGTTACCTAAAGTTTTTTTTCTGAACTGGCAGCTGCGAAACAGTTTCTGCAGATGCAGCTGAAGGAAAACATAGAATGAAATATTGAATTTTTGCAAATTCAAATGATTAGGTCTGTCGTTACAAAACACCATGTGAGCAACATTTACCATTTGAGGACTGACAACACTAACGCGGACAAATAAGCAGACGAAGTCGTATTGGCGGGAAGTGTCTGATCACATTACACCGCTAATCTGTCAATGGTGGACCTAGATCTGATTAACCCCTCCTTTAACAGCCCGGGGGCGTGGCGTCGACACTAACATGTCCCGGGGTGTCGGGGAAGACACTTCAGACGACATCTATCAATAGCTCTTTCCCTAGAGAAAAGACTCAATAATTTAACACATTCAAGAACAGATGGCCAACGACGTAAAAGAAAACACATTTAAAACAATAAGGGGCACAATCATTACTACTTAGAGCGACTAGACAGCTTATTAGCCCTTTCCTGACATACGCTAGTCTGTCGGGAGTGAACAATTCCTAAAATAATCCAATATGTAAAAAAATAAACCCACAACAACAAAGAAAATAAGTGAAGCTTTTGGTACGAGTTTTGTAAAACGTATTTGTCAAGTAAGTATTTGGTGACCTACCTTTCCCAGCACAGACTGTTCTTGCAAGATGATCCCTGAAAACCTATTTAGACGTCAGCTTTCGATCTTTGGTCCAGGTTATATTGCTTTAGATCCTAAATTGGTTATCTCTATGTGATATGTCTAAGTGATAAAGGTTCCTTACTAATTTATTTCTGTTCAGTGTACAATGCTGAATAAAATACATACATTGTACATACCATATCAAAGTCTATAACAGTAATTTAAACTTTGTAGAAATATTACAAACTCTATAACAAACAACACTTTGTAAAAATATTACAAACAATATTTAGTAACAATATTACACACGTCTTATAACAATATAACTTTGTTACAATAGTGTACATTGTTTCATATCAGACAGTTTGTAACAATTTAACACATTTCGTTACAATACTACACACTTTTGTTACTTTTGTAACAATATTGCATATTTAAATTTTTATTATGGACTAGCGTATCATCATTAGGACGCTATCAATTCAAGTTTGCCTTTGATGGAAAACTTAACGCAACACTTTCTATTTCACCAAATAGAGGATTCGTAGCTCTTTTGCTTGGCTATAAGTTATTTGGAATTCGGAAGAAAATGGGGATCATAAAATTGTAATAAAACGGCTATGGTAATTAAAACAAGGAGTATATCCAGACCCGCGAAGGTTTGGTATTTGGTGTCAGAAAAAAATATATCAAGGTTTATAAAAGATGGAACTTGATATATATAGAAGCACACATCAAGTTTAATAAGATAACAAAGATTGTTAATTATAGCAACTGAACGCGTGGGTATTTTGAGTATACTGCTTGTGAAAATGTATATGACAGACTGAACGGTATATACTGGTATTGACGGAAAAGATTTTAGTCACACGAACATTCTTAAGCAGTGGCTGTCGGTCACTCAATGGAATGTTTGATGGTATTTCGTCAAGGATAACAATACTGATGGAGCGGCACTCCAACAATCTTAGTCAATCAAATATACTTATACTTATGGAGCACTCGATATTCAGAACTCGGCTATACATCAGGGTACCGGAATAAGTCGAGGTTAGCCGAAAGATTCATCGATCGAGTTATCTGAAATCAAGGGTTACGCTCTTGATATCATATACCTACTCCGCACCTGCAGAGAATACACTACAAATATATATATCGAGAGCGTAATCCTTGACTTTCCAAGATTGCGTTCATAGTGACATGAACACATGATTCAAACACGCAAAGAGTTTCACATCAAACACCATTGCAAGCCCAATATCATCAGCTCAAGGTTCACGTCATAATCAGAACGCTCATCATTACGGCCTTGGGCTACGATATAGTTTCCTTGTTTGCCATAATGCATAGCAATAAGATTGTAAGCAATGCACTTGAAAATTCCAATAACGTTCATCCGAACAGAAAAATATTTTCAGGAGTGGTAACCAATATTTAACAACGGACGATGTAAGCCTTTTCTTTAGCTATCGAAGGTAATGAAAAATGGCATTTTAACTTCCCAGTTTAGTAAATAAAACCCGGTGTCAATACTGTAATTACATACATTAGTCTTGGTCTACGTGCTGTTTACATGTCGTTATACCCCATTCTTATCTATAAGTAGAAAATAAAGGCAAAAACACTAATCAAAATATCGAGAGAAAAAACACCAAACAAACGAAACGCGACAGAAGCGATGTGTACCACACACCTAATTTGGAGTAGAGAACACGAATCAACGGGCCTATGTTTCAGTATAACGAGGGTAGTAAGTGGGCCCTATAGATTTAAAGTAGTAAACATCCTTTTCCTTCCCTCCGCCCTTAAAAATAGCGTGTTTCCCGCCTCAGTCGATGTTCTTTCATTACAGTACGTCGTAACAGAAGAAATGACTTCCTACAGCGCGTAATTAGATGGCTGTGTATTACGTTATAGGACGAAGCGTAGGGCCGCATACATCATTTGTATAAACGGTGCCTGGCCGCATACATCATTGTAGAACGATAGAGTGGTAAGCGGTGGTGGCTCTCTATCATATTCCTGCTGTGTACATGTATATATAAGTGTCTACCTGGGGGACACAAAACATATATGTACGCTGTATACACTGAGTAACGTCTGCTCCGATCCACGGGCCCAATCATGGAATCGCCGTAACACGATAGGATGAAAACGGGATTTAAAACAATTCTTTTCTGATTGAAAATGATTTTGTGCTTTTAACCATAGTCTTCTCAAAGACTTCAAGGATGGCATCGTCGGACGCCAACTTATGCCATTGGCAAACAGTGTTTTCACGGGGTTTTTTGGTTGTGATTTTCTTTATTTTATTCCCAAAAACATCAGGTCACTTAGACAAAGACCTACGACTGTTGTCAAAGTTCCTGCCAGGACTTTACAGCAATAAGCAGCAGTACCTGGAAGATGTGAAAAATAATTTATCAACAGACCAAAGACATTTATCCATGCAGTTCATCTTCCGTCCCGTTCAAATTCATTTTCTACCCAATTCATTCAACGTGTATGTGGAGCAGTATATTAACTATGATCACACTCCGTTTAAACAGTGGTTGTACAACTTACGTACAGACTATAAAGGTATGATGATAGATATGAAAATCTACAACTTCAACTCTGAGGAGGTGAAAGCAAGGTTGAAGAATGATTTTACCACAATCAAACAATTGGATGTGTCTGACTTAAACTCAAGCGCCGAGTGTAACATGCTTTGGCGCAGACTTGGAGCAAAGAAGTTTATTGGAACCACCAGGCGCCAATGTCTAGCAAATATTAATGGCGAACAGGTAGGTTTTACATTATCGCTTGCTTAAAATTGTATTCAAAATTCCAGGTACATTAAACCTAATTAATCACTGATGATTTGTTCTAAAGAAAGACATCCGATTTAGCCTCCAAACAGTCACTAAAGATTGTATGGTCCAGAGACGGGCAAGACTGTTCGACTACTCCGATTGCCCAAACAAATCACACAGCTTGCGGAAAATCAAAAAAAGACACATGATCTCCCAACGGAAGAAATTTTAACAGAGAAACATATTATGGTACGAGTGTTACTTTCATTCGTGTTAAGACTGAATGTTCGCTCATGTGTTTGAGTAATTTGGAATTTGTGCAATTGTACAATTCGCCCATTCAAAAAGATAACCTAAATTTAGCCGATTATACATATTACAATTTTTTTTTATGTATTTTTATTCGAACGGAAAGACGGGTAAAATTAGTGTTTTTATTCAGAATTTCCCACAATTGTAGATGGGGCAGGTAAGTAGTCGTACCACACACCTGTCAATACGGGGTAACTATCAGGTAAATAGTGGTACCCTACACCTGTCGACGTACCACGTAAATTGTGGTACCCACACCTGTCGACGTACCAAGTAAATAGTGGTACCCCAAACCTGTCGACGTACCAGGTAAATAGGGATATCCCACACCTGTCAACGTACCAGGTAAATAGTGGTACCCCACACCTGTCGACGTACCACGTAAATAGTGGTACCAACACCTGTCGAAGTACCAGGTTAATATTGATATCCCACACCTGTCGACGTACCACGTAAATAGTGGTACCCTACACCTGTCGACGTACCAGGTAAATAGTAGTACCCTACACCTGTCGACGTACCAGGTAAATAGTGATATCCCACACCTGTCGACGTACCACGTAAACAGTGGTACACCGCACCTGTCGACGTACCACGTAAATAGTGGTACCCTACACCTGTCGACGTACCAGGTAAATAGTGGTACCCCACACCTGTCGACGTACCAAGTAAATAGTGATATCCCACACCTGTCGACGTACCACGTAAACAGTGGTACACCGCACCTGCCAATGTACCACGTAAATAGTGGTACCCACACCTTTCAGTGTAGCAGGTAATTATAAGGTATCTACAGTGTTAGTGTACCAGGTTTTATCTCACACCTGTTAGTGTATCAGGTAAAAAGTGCTGTCCTACACCTCCCGCGGTCCTTTCCGTCAAGGTGTGACCCATTCGCTAATTAACACTCTAACGATATAAATATGTATTATATGATATCATCGCAAGGCGGCAGTGATTAGTATATATGTATGCATTCTGCAAGATATGCATTTTAAAAATGACCTTGTCCTGTCAAATAACGTATTATTCTCTAGTCTAAAGCTGTATAAAATTAACACAGTTCGAGAGTATGGTAATATTGAGCAGTTAGAGGACATAGTGTAGGTGTTATACGTCCAAAAGCTAACACCAACAAAATCGCGAGTATCTCTATAATACTGTGTATTACGTCGCCTTTACGTGTCTACCCAACCGGGAACGTATTAGCCGTGTCCACGGTACGACCCAGCATGTGTTCATCGAGTTGTTTTGTGAAAGAAGTCTAAACTGATTTTCTTGTATTATGTTACCAGTGTATCTGTTTTGCGTGCTTTTTGTTAATGTCAAATATAACCTACAAACAAGTTGTCTGTGAGTGAATCATTCGACGGGCACATGACGTTTTTTTGCCTAATCGTATAAGCATGGCGATTGACGGTTAAATCAAAACGCTGACCTTCTTCATGTACTACACACGACCTTCATCCTTTGTGGAGCAGATTTGTAAATTGGCGAATTTACTTGCGGTGCCCCTTGACCCTTACGTCTGTACAAGGGACAGAAATACACTGTGTAACATAAACAATCACTGTAAGTATTGACGCCGTCCGGATCGTAATAGCTCATACATTCGTGACTATAAATTGTAATGTAGACTGCGATTGTTGGATCATTTTACCGGGGCCCTGTTAGCTCAACCCGAGACAACCGTGAAGGTAATCTTAACATTTAATCAACATTTTTTCCCCAAATAATTTTAATGTTAATAAAAATACCAAAAAAGTGTTCCGAAATAAAACTGAAAAAAATACTATTGAATGATAAAGGACTATTGTCTATTGTGTTCTATATGTTGTACCATACAGAAGAAAGCATACTGGACCGCCAATGATAATCTATAAACGTTTGTTGGGTAATATGGTTTTAATTCGGCGGATGCCTGCTGTGCACCGATCTATCGGCTATACCACACAGCTCACGTCCGACAATGGAGCCAAGTCATTAAAGTCCGATATTGCAGCAGTTTATGGATGCAGCGTCCGACCTAGGACGATTAGCGCGTCCCCATCTCGGTGGATTAGAGTATGACGACGTCGTAGTTCCTAGTGCTCCCCGGTATAGGGTAGTATAAGGTACAAAAAACAAGCTAAAGTACAAGAAAGTGATAGCCGCTCATTCATTCCGTCCCTAAATTAGAAGCATTAAAAATCGTTTTCTTTGGAGGTGTACGACAGTATACCAGTATTTTGTTACTAATTTCGATGTCCCGCATTAGGTTTTTAAAGTATGCGAAGTGCATCATTTGAATTTAAAACAAGCTGTCATCACAGAATCAGTCCATCCCCTGTAGGCTCCTCTGTCTTCGCATTGTAATACGTTGTTGTATTTGACGTCGTACGTATGCTAAAAAGTCACAATGCAAATGTCAATGAAAGAAGGCCCAGACGATATTCAGAGTCTGACATTTACTACAATTCAAACCTACACCGCAAAGCTATGAAATAGCTAAACGCGTCGAGGTGTTGCGCAGACAATCTGGCAAATGTTGGGATTTAGATGGTAGACCCTACTTACTTAGTATGTTAAGTCACGCCATAAACTGACGATCAATATGATCGGTATCATTACATAAGGCGGCTACGCCACTGTCATCGAATGCATGGAATTAGAAGTGACAGGCCCGTTGTACCTTTTGACAACATGACCATAAACCTCAAATAGCGTTAGTATCACCGCTCGCGCTCTCCGTGGCACCAGTGCATTTGGTGTGAGGTACAGTGTAGAGTCAGTCATGTGGTGGTGACTAGCGATTTCTACAAGTATAGACACCAAAGGAGGTAGATAATCAGTTTGTATTACCCCTATTAAACAATATTTATAGTATGTAAAATATATTTGAAGATACGTATTTAAGCTGTCATTTGGGAAAAAGCAAATATATGAATCCCGAAAAAAACAATAAAGAGATGTATCGGTTTATCCCGCATTACAATTTGTTAATATTTACGACGAGATTTACGTTTCGTTTCGCTTCTTTATTTACTAATGGCCAAACAAGTTACGACAAGCGATGATCAAACGATAGGTGTTTCACGACCATACCATATGGTTTTCTGTTTCAATAAAACTTGTCTCCTGGCCTGTGCAATATTTCACGGCTTATTGCGTGGAATGTGTTTTTGTCTGGTCATTCTCAATATAATGTCGTCCCAAAGTCCTGCGGAATGCAAACATTTGTCAAAAGTGCCACAAATCGGGATTGAAGTTTGGACAAAATGTAATAATTGACACACAGAGTGATAAAACTGACCGATCAAAGACCGTTAACGCCTAGCGGTCGTCCTCGTCAGGGGGATGATGGGCCGTAGCGGGGGGATTATATGTGTTTTACAGGGTGAAGTAGGGTTTTGTGTGTCCGTGCGAACACTGTTACATTATACCGCTGCACGCCGACTTGATGTTTAAGGGTTTACGATTCTCGGCATGAGTTCTGCCAGAGATCGTTTTTAATGACAAATCGATTAAAAATCCCGACGTTAATAACCATTAAGCGCCCACAAATCAGTGATACTTTTAGGTACGCGTCATAGGTAAGCGTCAAATGGGAATTAACATTTTGGAGTAGAGTCCAACTGTGAAACACGTGACGGTATATTGGTCGTTAGGGGGCGACACTGGCCGCAGTTTTATGACAAATGTCACGTGAGGTCATACCGACGGTTTTACAACCCCATAAACCAACAAAGTTATTAACTGTACGGCCGTTTTGTACTTGTTTATAGTCACCCGGTCTAGACCGTTCAACAATCCCGTCGTCCACGATATGTGCTCCTTTATAACGGCTGTATTTCGTTTTGTTTGTTTTTTACATAAAATCGTTAGTATCGTCCGTCGATGGCGATTAAAGCACTACAATTGTTCTTTTGAGATAGTTAGAATTAATTGGCGTCAAATCATGACAATATAGTTTACGACAGCGTTTTGGTGTTATTTCCCGCTCTGTCCGGAGCAACAGGAGACGTCACCGTATAGTGTTAACATCAAACACTTGATTAGGTTAACCAGTGGTATTACTGTATGTTGTAATTTTCCGACGTAGCCGTTATCAGGTTTTATCTTCGGTTGCTTATTTATGTTGTGCTACTAATGATCCGTTGTTTCTGTGTGCCATTGCTGTTGTTTTGGTCCGTAGTTTCTGTTAAATGTTCCTGTTAGTTTTGTTGTGTCCATTTGTGTTTTGTCTACCTTTGCTGCTGTTAAGATATTTAAGTTGTTTCTGTCTGATGTTGCTGTTATTGCTGCTGTCTGATGTTAATGTTGTGACGTTAAGTTGTTGGTTCTGTCAGATGTTGCTGCTGCTGTTACATTTCACGTGTTGTTTCCGTATGACGTTGCCGACGGGTTCTTTGCCTCTAAGGCTGATGTTGTGACGTTTAGTTGTTGGTTCTGTCTGATGTTGCTGCTGTTGTTACACTTTACATGTCAGCTCTGTCTAATGTTGCTGTTATTACTGCTGTTATTACTTCTGTTTATAGACTGATTTTGCTGTTGTTGTGACGTTATATATGCTTTTTCCGTCTGACGTTGGACAGCTACGTTGTTTTCAAGGCCGCTGTTGTTACATTTCATATGTTGTTTCCCTCAGACGTTGCCGGCGGTTACGTTGTTTCGAAGGCTGCTGTGACGTTTTTTTCGGA